TATGTGATTCAAACGGAATCTGGGATCCAGAAAGAGTCTTTTGTTGTAAAAATGGAACTGTTTCTGGTGGCAAAAGATGCCTCCGGGCTTTTCCGGTACAATTAGAAATGAGCTTGGATGGTAAGTTTAACGATTATTAGCCCGTACTGTATTTCTTTCAATATAATATAAAACAGAAATATTAATATGCAAATGGAAGTGAATGGAAATTTAAATTACTCCTCTCATTTACGAACCTTTTTTACCAAGTCTGAAACATTTTTAGTTTTGTTGTGGCAGGTGACTTTCTAATTAAATGGTTGAAACTCGTATAATCATATTATTTTGAGCTTGTTAAATCTCTGTGTGTATCACAGCTCCTGTTATATTTTATATGTAGATAAGCATTTTCTGCTCGAGTTTTTTTTGTATGCTAGTTTTGGGGCATTTCTGTTGAAAATGTGTCAGAGTTAAATCGTATACACATACATGCACAGTGCATTAACTGCATAGAGTGCAATTTTCATCACCGATCAGCCGGCACCTCTAATTATGATCTGTTCTGTTTGCTATTCAGTCAGTATTTATTTTAAAATTTTCACTATAAATGATGTAATAGTTTGTTCAGATTGAAAAATTGACAAGAAGATTTAAGACATCTAGCATTGGAAAGGATTTACATTTTTTATTCACGTATGCATCAATAAATTTGAGATACCCACATATCATAGCAAACTATTGTCATGATGATTCAAACAAATAAAATAAAGAATTTAAATGAAGCAGTTGATACTGAAGATAATACTATACTGCTAGCAATATCAATTGGTACTTAAATATTTTAAGACCAAATCATTTTATTAGTCGCCGGTAGAAACCGGCGACTATACTTGTAACAGTTTAATATTATACCTATGGTAGGAGAAGCCCTTAAAATCTGAAAATAAAAGCATATCAATTATTGAACAATTAAAAGACCACACTTATTTTTCAGTAATCTCAAAAAAAATTCAAACATATGATAACTTTGCTCAATGAAATGAAGTATACACATATTGACATCTTAAAAAGCAACATTATAAATTTTATAAAATGAATTAATAATGGATCCCTAAAGATCAGCCATTGAATATTAGGGATACTTCTTCTTTTTTCTATGTGTCAAGCGTTGCTATTTTATGATATATAAATCATGAACGATATTTTAAATGACACTTTTAAATTATTTGGTTGTTTATATTTTATGAGACCTATTATATTCCATAACTATCCGCTTTATGTATGGGTAAGCTGCAATCAAACACAATCAGGCTTGGACAGTCTTTCAATTCATGCATTACTTCTTTATTTTACTGTGGCATAAAAGTGACAATGAAAACCTTTAAACTACCTGCGCGATAACTTTACCGGGCACAGGTACTTTTTATGCGGCCATGTGATAGCTTTTAAGTTAACATATAAAACGTCACGCAGCCACGAAATGGCTTTTGCTTGTATACGATTGCCTATGTCCCCTATATGCCATCGTAATATCTTTTTTATATTTGCAGATGTCTATAGCACATGTGAAAGTTATGGTCTAGTGTTTGGTAATACTTCGCCATTTCTTTACAACATTTTGGTCAGTAAAGGCAGCAATCCTGCGCCTATGATGTTGTTTAAAAAAACTAAAAAGGAACTGCAAGCGGACTTGTACATGAGTTGCCTAAGCTTACATATGAACACGACTGAACTGGAAGAATATGAGAATGCAACCTATGAAGAAACTATGCAAGTTATCGTGGACAATGGCTGGAATGAACTGGAAGAATATGAGAACGCAACCTATGAAGAAACTACTCAAGTTATCAACGATAATGGTTTGAATGAAAAACCAAATGCAAATGTTTGTAACAAATATCTTATAAATGATTGGTCTTTAGGGGAGCCAAATGGTGGAGGCGCGCATCAATGCATAGTTAATGGGCCCATGACAAGTTTCAAGTATGCCGACATAGATTGTAATAATCTTGATCAGGATATGGTAGGATTTTTATGCATGCAATATCCACCATATGTCTCTGATTAAAAAACATGTTTAAAGCTTTGAAAGATTTCCGTGACCAACTTTAATATTTATAGCCGATTAGATGACAATAATTGTGTAAACATTTTTACATTATGTCTCAATAGAAGGTATAAACAAGTTGTGGAACAACGGTCACTGTGAGTGAAATTGTTTACTGATTATTAAATATTGTGTTTTTATTGTGTTTTGTATGAAAGCTAAAATCCTCTGCTTTAAGACTATATGAGATTTATTGCAATTAAACATATCTCTTTATCTTATTAATGTGAGTCGTTCGTATATGTATCTGTGTTTGTGTAGAACATTTGTTTGTGCAAATAACAACAATATAAAACATGACATTGAGTTTGTATTGAGGTCAGTCTGGACACAACACTGACAATGTCAGTTCTTCGTAAAGTTTACATCATAATGCACACGTCACGTTGTAAGACACGTTGTCCAGAAAGAATTTTTGTTTCATATATTCATATCGATTTCAGCGCTCCTAAACTGCATTAGAAAAATAGAAGAAACCGTTATACATGAAGGTTATCTAACTTTAAGAAAGTATTGTGTGCATTTCTCGGTAGTAAGTTTAAGAAATAACATCGGTCTGAGAGGTGTATATCGGCTATTTAACACCGGTTTGGAGTTTTGATGCGTAGGAATTGACCACGAAGGCCGTATGAAATAACGTCGGCTTGTTTATGAATAAGTTGTCATTACGCTGCTTACGGATTGGCGCCGTTTTGTCAGAATATTAATAAACTGATATGAATCAAATATGTTATCAGTGTATGTGAGATATTATTTCAGTATTATATGAAAAGAAAACATTATAAGAACTTAAAATATAAATAAAAATGTTTTTCATTGTTGCTTTAAAATGCCTTGTAAACTATATTATCGAGGGTGAAAAATAGAACAGCGCATATACAAGTAGTCCCTTACCAGTATTTATTGGCAGTTTAACACCGTTTTTTTTCTTCTTTGTTTATAGTGGCATTATCACGTGGAGTGTTAGAATTGTATTTTACTCTCGGTATTGTATACAAGCCAGCTTATGGATCAAACGAGAATATATCATGAGTGTGTACCCCTAAACCTATGGCTACGTTTTGTACCAAACATCAATATCAAAAGTAGCAAAAAGGCAAAAACAAAGCACGAATGGACAGAACAGCTTTTTCATCTAAGTTCAATTGAGAGACAAAAATAATCATCTCTTATAGAAAACTAGTATTATCATAACTATAGATTTACTTAATCTTTAAAGTGGACCTGTGTTATAAGAATACAAACTGACTGCACAAATCCCAGCTTTTATAAACTATTTGTTTACATATTAGTATTTAGTATTTGTTCGAAATACCGTATCCATTTTGTGTATTCATACTAGCTCGCGCGCCTTATCCCAAGATTGGCTGAAAGAACTGAAAAGTTATGATTTCTGATTCTTAAATTAAAAACCTTATCGATTTGATAGTTAAATTACAAAATCGGGAAACATGTTAGTTGTATGAGTTTCTTCTTTCTCTATTTCAGGTAATACAATACATAATTATTTAGCCATTTTTCTAATGTTTGGACACACATGTATTTTTATACGTCTTCATAATGATATAATACTGTTTAATATAAAATGCTGTATATTTGTTGTTTTGTGATTCATTACAATGCCCGCTTTTACATAGTCAAACTTAAAGTGTCACCAGAATGCATGGCACACAGTTTATATAACTCGTACAAGTATTATAGCCGTAGTAAGGAAAGAGTAAATTCCCATTAATTTCAAATGGCGACTGTAAAGCAATGTTGAAATATTTGTACTGACACCGAATAGAAACTAATGAGCATTGGTTGTCCTTATAACTAAAACATCACATCAAGATAAGGAGAAAAATGTATTTGGAAGTCAACTGTCAATAAATAGAAATGTATTAATCACAATGTTATGTTGACAATATTAATTACAAGAGCTGTCGGTAGGACAGCACGCTCGACTATTCTTAGTGCTTGATACTAAAAGAGCCTTGATATTGAAAAAAATTCTGACCTATCAAAAAGGCCAAATTTTTCTTTAAATCCATGCTACAATTATAGGCCTTGGAGAGAGTCATGTAATGCTCTCAAAGAAGTGTATATAATTTCAACTTGTTTCAAAGCCACATAAGAATGGAATATGAAAATATCTAAGGCGGGTATGCAAACTTAAATATCAGTCGAAAAAGGCACATTATTCTGTCAAAATGCTTGATGGATATACCTCCTCCTGTCTACAGGCTTGGAGCATGATGATAAATAAGTGTGCACAGTTTCAAAGCCGCATGTCAATAGACTTTGATAATATTTGAGGTGTTACAAAAGCTTTAACGTAAAATCTAAGTAGAAAAAAGGCATAATTAAGTCTAAATGCTTGATAGAGTTACCCCCTCCTGTTTACATGTTGGGGTTATGAAGGTGAACAAGTGTGCAAAGTTTCAATGCCACATGTCTGTGGACTGTGAAAATAGTTGTGGTGTTACAAAAACTTTAACAAAAATGGTTACGCCGGCGCCGACGCTCGGGTAACTAGAATAAACCTCCTTGTGGCTAAGGGCTTGCCTTTAAGGGTTGAGAGCCACCGTCTGTCCCTGCGTAATAGTAAGATGCGACGACTAAATGGGTTCAAATTACTTGAGTCAATACAGATCTTAGCTTCAGTCGGTTAGGCGGTTTTGAACCCTAGTTTTGCTGAAGTTTGTAACACCTGAGGTTAGCCAAAATCATCTTTCCTGTGTTGGCGCCATATGATCTAAATTGTGTTGGTGCGCCATAAAATCAAACAAACAAATACAAATAACTGTACGTGTGGACAAATTAAGATATCAAAAATTGTATTTGTTTTTATCATCACTCTTTGAGAATTCGAAATAAGAATCAAATACAAATACCTCGGATGGAAAAAGGAAAAAAAACTTTTCAAAAATAATATTTTCAACAAATTTATATATAGTGTGTTTCAAATTCACATGACTAACATATCATATATTTTCAGATTGGAACGGCTCTAATTTAAAGTATTCATGCGGTTGTATCGACGTTTCGGTGTTGTGATTGACGTCACACATATCTGCTATGGTAGCAACATCACCTTCTAGATTACAAGCATTCCCATCTCCATCTTTTCGTGTTGCGTCCACCGTCTCATATTCATGAATCTCCTCCAGGTTGGATGTCCACCCTAAGTTAGACCTACAGCTTGCTTGCACAGGAAATGTCAGCCCGCTCACATTAAATGATTTGTTACTAAAACTGTCTTCACTTTCCTTCTTTTTAATCAAACTTGTGCCATCAGATACGTGTTCTGTCGCCTCATTTGCATCTCTTTCGTTAAGAAGACTTGCATAATCTTTATTTGAACCTACAAAAGCAAGCACACTTGTGTTATTTGTAATACACAAAAGTAAGTTGGTGAATGGACTTATCCATTTTCTATCAATTACAGAAAATCAGAAAATAACAATTATCTGAAGAATGTTATCATTTCTTTACGTTAAGTCCTTGTGAGTAATAACTTGTATTTTTGTAACTTTAAGCAAGCTGGCGGTAACAGACACTACCCGTGCGACCAGTGCAGACTCAGATCAGCCGGAACATCTGTGCCGTGTAATCATAGTCTACACTGTTTACTATTAAGTCAATACTTAATTCGAAAATTTACATACAAAAATAAATGATGAAATGTTTTGTCTAGATGGAAAAATGGGAATTTGTTTTAAGATATTTAGGGTTGAGGATTGAATTTGTGACTAAAGACTGCACAGCAGTTAACATCTTTGCCCGTTTATAAACATAAGAACGCACGTGTTCTTTTATCTAAGCGTTTATTTTAAAAAAAACCTCGTTGTGAATAACGTATAGATCTACCTTCGCTCGTAGGGTAGTAAATAGCATCGTTAAGTCGGCTGAAACGTTGTCCTTTGAGACTTGTGTAATCATTGTTGCTCCCGCTGCTTTCACTACTGGCTTGGTATATCTCTCCATCACGTATTATCATTACCCTATGAGGAGCTGAATAATCACTACTGCCTGAAAATGGTATATAACATTCAAATGTCAATACATTGTCGAAACCTATTAAAGATGTACTATAGTAGGCTTTGACAAAAATACTTTTTATAATTTTTATTGGATAAATGTTTTGAAATCTATAAAACTTCTTGCTGAATCTGTTTCATATGAATAAAGTAATACACAAACTATGTACGGGAAGTTGTGTACTTCCTATTACGGGTCAAGTGAAGTAAATAATTTCTAAAAAAATAGCCGTTTTTAAAACATCATGTATGCGTACTGTGTTTCCCTGTAGTGTGTAGAGTTAAAAATGTAGCATACCTTCCTTATGTGTACTCAAAACATGTTTATTTTAACTTATCATGCCAATGACCATTTTTTCAAATACCAAATTTGGGCATAACATGTTTTAAAATGGTATTTTATATAATTCACCACCAATATTTAAGATTGTAGAATTTAGAAAAATCAAATAATTTATGAATACGTTTTTATTTAAAAACCTTTTTCTTCCATGAGTCTACTTGTTTTATCGATATAACGGAAAACGTTTTATATTTTTCTCAGATCGCTTCAGAAGTAAACGATGTCCATGTATATGGGGAGTGTATTAAAATTTTACATCCTCATTACATTTGTATTTCTCTTGAAGTTGTATCTTATACGATACATTGTCAGTTTTTAAAGTAAAAAGTAAATAGAATTCCAAAGAAACCTACTTTCGCTGCAGGGTGCGTACGGGTTATCAGAACCTCCTTGTATACTTTGGTAGTCTCGGGAAGAACTTTCGCTAGCAGGGCTATAAATTGTGTCTAACCAAGGTGCAGAACTAGAATGTTCTGTCATAAAACCAGATAGTCCTTGGGTATTCCATGGAACCGAAGATGACTGAGAATTTGGTAAAGTCGCTCCACCAGTTCTAGCCCATGCAGATGTCTGGGAGGGGATATTTGGCAAGGTAGATTGTCTGGGAACGTTCCATTGTGCAGACTGCGCCCTTGTGTTGGGTAAAAATGCGTTCTTTTTTTCTGCCCAGGCGTCTGATGGTGAGCGGATATGTCTATACCGCTGGCCTTCAAATCTATTCTGGGATGTTTGAAAGTCTGTAAATGATGATCCTGTCGAACGGCCAAGTGTTGCAACATCTGAAATAAATGAAAACTATTCATTGCATATCAATTTACAAATTCAATAAATAATAGCTTTAGTGTAATACAATATCAAAAGTTATAATATTGGTTATTATAATAGTAATAATTGTTGAAAACGTAGCATTTAATTATTTATGTTAACATTATAGAAAATAACCAAGTCTATCTTCTTCTACAATATCTACATAAAACATCATAGAATGTATAAAACATCGCATCGTATATTCATGGTCAAAGTTAAGACATTGTTTAATCAAGTATACCATGAAAGGGCGGGCTGTCACCATTAGATAAAAGTGTGTTGTTTGTACTCATTGATTCGACAGAGGCGTTTCCTAATAACTGAGCTGAGCTTGTTGATCCGATGGGTCTGTCGTGGATCTGAAAACAAAATGATTTTTTAATTAAATCCTTGTAAAAAAATTCTGAAAAGAATTAGGTTAATCTTTTCATTTTGGTCAATTTGATGATTTTTTCAAATTGTCTAATTCACTACTGAGTGCTAAGTGTCGTATTTATTTTAAGTAAGTAGCCTAAGTCACAAAGTTACTTTAACTGGATATATATGTTAGGAAAATGATACATTTGCACAGTTTGACTCTTTATGTTAATATGTTGATAACAATGTTTATAGTGAAAATCTCGGGATATTGGAATGACAATTTGGAAAAAAATGACATAATAATTAGTTGGTGTTTTTGTTTGTTGTAGTTATTTTTTTGTGTGTGTGTGTTTTTGTTGTTGCTGTTGTTTTTCATTTGGTTTGTTGTTATTATTACTTTTATATTGTAGCTCAATTGATGTATTTTTACATTGAAATCATTTAAACTTAGAACAACAGCTTGGCTAAGCCATGACACAGGTTAATATGATTTTTTAACCATAATGATTGTGTTTCTCAAAACGTATCAGGCTATATATATCTACGGCAAAAATTATTGCTTGAATTTTAAAAAGATTATTCTCTCAAAATGCTTGTATGAAATTAATATAGTAGTAAGGTCTTAAAAGCGAAAGCCGCATACACGAAATTGCTAAATGAATCATAAACCCTGCTTAAAATGGAAACATTTTATTTTGTTTACATACAATTTTTATGTGTCTGTGTTAAACAACTGAGAAATTCACGGTTACAACTCTTTTGAGAATCAAATATAACATTATAGAACCGATATAATTTTAATGTTGATGAATTTTATAAAAAAAAGAAAGATATTTCATAACATATAGCTTTATACTCTTCAAAGAATGCAATTTCAAACAAAAACAACCCAAATTTAACATTACTACATTTATGTACTATAATCAAGGGAATCGTGATTACCTGATGGTTCCAATTTGAACTGCCATGTCCACCATTTACAATAACTGCCTCTTTTTGTCGTGATACACAGCATCTGTCAATTTAATAAAATCATCATTAATTTTACCAATATAAACTCCTATCAAATCTGCATGGTATTTTTGTCTTTAATAGCAATGTGTTTTCTTGAAATCATATATTTATTAAAAGTTAATTTAGTGATTTTTCTCGGTTTAATGTGTTATTTATTTTTCATGAATTCGTGAAGAAATAAATTGTACACTATTATTCTTAAAGCAACGATCAAACAAGATAGACGGAAATAAAAACATTATTCATGTTTGGAGAAGTAAATATCATTTGTATCATTTATTAAAAGCTTTAACTTAATACTAAATAATCAAAACACTTGCTGTGGGTTCGAATCCCGCCAGGGACTTTGAGTTCTTTCATGTGAGAAAAATAGCTGTAGCTTACGAAACCTCGGTTGTTCTACTTCATGTGCTAGTTCTTGTCTGAAATAATACTGGGAAGAGCACCCAAGTTCATCCTCTAACAGTTAACCTGGGAACTCACAATATGTCCTCTACTGTGTTGTTACGACGTAAAACCTAACCAAACAGTTAACAATAACTCTTTTGAGCATAGTACACTACACTTAACAACTGTTCAATCGATAAGTGTTTGAGCTGTATTTGAATTATTTAAAGGTATATCTTATTTAAATTTATTGAAACACGGGACTAACTTGCATAGTTTACAACAGAACATTATTATCCACATGATGAAACCTCCTGCCAGAAAACAACCAATCGCTATGGAGACGAGTATTGTTGTGCCAAAACAGTTGCCACTATCTGTACAAGAAAAATCATATATGTGTATGTGTCTTTTAATTAGTAATTGTTTATACAGCTTAACCCATAGCATGCTATTGCGCCAAATGATTCTACCCATGCAAACAGTGCAGACCAAGATAAGGCTTCACATCATCATGGTCGTGACTGTTTGCTTTGAAACTTCTTAAAGTGAAAAATGGTTTTGTCCAGCTTGAAAGATATTTGATGTCAATTGAAGTGAGTTGAAGATAATTGAAGATATTAAGCTTGTAAAGGCTAAGGTATGAACACCTTGATTTGATTCATCTTTTGTCTTGCAGAATACCTATCATAGTTATTTCAGGAAAGTAATAGCATGTTCATTGCACTTTTACATTGAAATGCATAAAAATTATTCCTAGAAAATTTAAAATCGTTATTTCATAGCTAGCAGTTTGAGAAAAAATACTTTATACTGTAATATGCTTGCAAGTGATAAAAGCTATTCTTCGCGTTAAGTTATATGTTTTAATTATTATGTGCGTGCATGTCGTTGAACTACACATAAACAAGATTGTTTTGGTATCATGTATGAAGGAAATGTCGTAAATCAGTCTGCATTTAAGGGCATAATGTAGGTTGTTGCGGTGAATTCCTACCTACTAGTGTCTTGCTTTCCCGTATTATTCCTGTAGTAGTGTCATCTTCTCCATCGTCTGAAACAGCAAAGTTTAAACACTGTTTAATAAATTTTCCATTTGAGGTGTATTCATTTAATTTTCCATTTACAAATTGTTGCCATTTTACATTTTTGCAATGAAAATATTTCTAAAATTTTTGTGAATATTTGTCATAATGAAAATTGTGCTCAAGCCAGCACAAACACCATAAGAAAGTGTGTATGTGAATATTTGTAGACTCGGTTGTATGGATGACTAGCCCTTCAGAAACCTTTGAATATACTATAAGTTATAAAGATTGTTGACAGGTTATATGGCCCTATATAAACGGCTGTTTGTAAATATAACCCGAGCCGCCAGGCGAGGGTTATATTGCAAACAGCCGTTTATATACGGCCATATATCCTGTCAACAATCTTTATAACGAATTTATAATACAGCACGCATCATTTTTTAGAGAAAAAGGTAAGATTTCTTCATGAATCGACAGTAGCGGTGTATATAAAACTATATAAACGTCACGATTATCCAATGAAAAGCGACGTTACAAACGTGCAGTATTATAAATGTTTATATATACTTTTAAAGATAACTCTTTGTATGGTAATTCATTTCTAATATAAAAGTGTTAATTGCATGAAAATATTTGCTTTGATTTTCAATGTGTTCGGCAAGGAATTGTCAAGATTACCAAGAAATAAGTACAAAAATACTGACCGTTTTGCACATTGGCTGGTGCAGGTTGCGACGAGTTGAAGTTGTTAAGTAAATTATAACAGTAATCTTTAAATCCGGGAACCATGGCTGGCGCTATGCATGATGACCCTTCCTTCAACGGAGGTATCTTGTTGAATGCCAATCCAGATATATTGCATTTCGCAAATTTTCTGAATTATACAAACCATAATACGTAAAATGTTTTGTTGCTTTTGTTTTTGTCTTTTGTTTTTCATAAATGTCCTTTGCTCTCCTTACATGTCCTTTGCTCTCCGTTGTCCTTATATTTTGTCTTGTTTGATTACTTATAACATATATACGTTTTACACTTTTTAACATACTTTTATTTTGGCTTAAATATACAAATGTATTTTGCATATCAACTATTTTTTCAAATATTTAACAAGCACATTTAGGCAGGATTTGTTTTTGTTTACATTTACATTCATACATTAACGTAAATATTTTAAATTGCAAAATTCAAAATTGGCTTTGTTGCCTTGAAAATGCATTATTTGTGTGCATTCATTAAATCTGCTTTACTGTATGATTTTTAAACTTTATTCATATTTTCTGTACATGATAAAAGTGATGTTCAAAAGCCTTTGAAGTTGAAATTTGTCACTTACCCTTCTGTTTTGCATGCTATAGTGAACAGACATTTAGTATTCAACTTTCCTGTTTCCTGGCAAGCGTTAAAGTAACATGTTTCGGCGTTGATTAAGGTCACCATAGATATAAGCAACACAACCAGTCTGTTGACATTCATGACAACTGTAAAACAATCAAGGTGATGGTTTAAGAAATATCGCAGTAATTTGGACGCTTTGGGTACAATAAATATAATCTTATATTGCAACAACTATAAAAGAAGATCCCTCAATAGCAATCAAAACCTAAAAAAAACATATAAATTGCAATCTATATTTACTTTATTTCTTTGTTTGTTACACACTTTTTTCGTCATATTTTATAAGTCGTTCCACCTAACCTGCTTATCTGGTTAACTAACCAGTAATTACCAATTTTTTCTGCAAATGGCTGACTTCTAATCTCCACTTGTTTTCTTAGTACTCGGTCGGAAACAAATGACCTCTAGACTCAATGTTCTTAAACAATTTTCACGAAAAGGTCCCTTCGCCTGAGGATCACACCAGAGAAACCTTGACTATAAATACGACTCCTCTGCCCTATTGAGATAACCGGACAGACATATTTTATAAACTATATACTTATGGGATATAATGGAATGTATATAATGTGCATTAAATATCACGTCCCCTATCACCGAGTTCAGCAAAATTTAATCTTACAAAAGAGCTATCGAATTATTTTGACCGGTTTTAATTGGTACCATATTAATCTAAAATATACAATATCTAAGCATATGCTTACGTTATAATGAAGTTTAACCATTCTTTGCATATATATTTCAAGTAAATTATAGCTTTCTCCGAAAGAGTCGTTAAGTACATTTAAGATTGCCCAAATATAGTAAAATTTACAATGTTGCATTAAAATAAAGTTAAAACAAAAATGACATTGTATAAGGGAGAAACTTTCAGCCGCAAAATATTTAAAGGTATAAAACAAAACGTTAAATAATAAATACTCGATATTTAAGTATTATCATATTTGTTGTTGTTGTTTTTTAAATTAACTTACCTTTATAATTCCGTGTATCCCTTCACTAGTATATTATATTTCCCAAAAAGGTCACCTAAAACGTACGTGCAAGAGTAGTGATAGCAAATATTCTGAATAATTGTCAAAAGTGTTCCAAATCGAGTGACGTACCACAACCGGAAGTACAGGCTTATTTTGCTTCCGGAGCTTAGTGATGGAATGTCTTATTAAGCTATATTTGATGAATAACTAGAGCAAAAACAACAAAACATTCATTCAATTATCTATTGCTCATAACAACTCATAAAGCATGTAAATTAACAATGTATTTTTAAACTTAATATTAAAAAATAATATTGCTATAATGTTTGAGGTTTATATTAAAACATAAAAAAACATCGGAAAATATCTGCATAAATATATGAATGATATTTTAGGTTTAAAAATATGTAAAATCTATGTAAAATATCGGAGAATTTACAAATATTTTAGACTATAGATAAGTAAAAAACATGAATGCATGCGTATATGCCATAGTACACATATGACATGGATGAGAATACGGAATAATCAAATATATTGGAATATATGATGATATTTTATCTCACTTAGCCGGTGCTAGGGAGCGTGATACATATTGTACTTTGCATTATCCTTTAGACTTAGATTTACATTCAAACAAAATCTTTATTTTTTGTACATATGTGTTGTTTATATTGCATGAATGGGAGTTCCATCTTCCCAGAATAATATGATAGACTTTGCGAAATTATATTAAGAAATTGTATACAAATGTATAAGTATTACAGATAATTTTTATATATAAAATTCACTTGAAACAAACTGAACAGAAAGTTAATACTGCAGCGGTGTAACAGTCCTCATTCAAAAATTGTTATATGACGACCATTAATGACTTTGAAAGAACATGCGATATATGTCAATCTAGAGAAATGGAGGGTGAATCCCATATGATGTGTGTGTTACCGACTAACAAGAGAACGTCATACTGAAAAATATTATTATGAAAGGCCATCTTATGTTTAAACTTTCTCAGCTGCTTTCAGCGACTTATAAAAAGATGTTGACTAATTATTTCCTTAATGATGCTTTAAAAATTAGGCTTGCTTGATCTATTGCAATAAATGTTAAATTAAAATGCTCAATTTATTGTCATCTACGTCAAAAAATTCATGTTAAAATGACATTGATATGTATTTTATACCTTCTTTTGTCATATGCACAACAGTAACTGCTATTTTCAAGATTGTATTATACCATTTTATTGTTTGACTTTGACATGATAATGTATAATTATGTTGTGTGTGAGAAGCAAATGCTCAAGTCTAAACATTAAAATTCATGGTCTGTTCTGTTCTGTTATTTGTATGCGGTAAAGTACTAATGTTTTATCTAATTATTTGTTAGTATCTTATATGCTCATATTGTACACTAGCAACATACTAAACAATAGCTTTATTGTATAAAGGCACAATGACGTTCAAAATAGTATACCACACTGTTGTGAATAGTGTATTTATCATAAGTGTTTTTTCAAGTATTTAAATCGGTGTACCGAGTCTCATTTACTAAAGTGGTAAAGGCGTTGCTCTTATTTTTAAGTGGACTTAACACAAGATGCCAATTTGAATTTTATATTACGCCCACAAATTATGTTTGTGTAAGCTAAAGACTCCAAAGGTAACAAAAGTGCGAACCTATTTGATGATGTTTTACAGGTTGCAAAACAAACATTTTATGATATAGGCAAGTAGCATGTTATTGTTATGAAATCTATTAATAGTAACAAATTGCTGATAAGACATAAAGGTGACTTGTAGCTAGTTGGCAAAAAAAATGGTGGCTGATAAAATGCAAAATATAGTAATTTTATATTTCTAATAACAAACTTATTTGTTATGAAACAGCCTAATATTTTATATCATTAGAAAGGTCTTTAAACTCATATTTTAGAAATTAAAAAATCAATTTTCAAAACGTTTTCTTTTTTTCTTGGTAAAGAGTTAAGCTTGGTGCTCAAAAAGTATTGAAATAACAGTTTAAAAATAGCCGAATTTTCCTTTTTACAGCAAAAAATGAAAATCCACTTATATTTCAAAAATATGAATGTAAAGAACTTTCAAATAATATGAATCTAAAAAATTGATTCACAAATAAAAAAGTTATTAGGATTTAAAAATTCTGCTGCTATATGATGCATATAAATATTGGCTCGCTCTTTTTGCCAACCGGTAAATCTGCTAAATTCTGGTAGCAGGTGCTTGTGATATCATCGTGCAACTTGCCTATACAAGTATCAAGCGACGGTATAACTATTTTCATCACGTGACATTTATTTCTAAATGGTTTATATTTGGATGTCTGCTATTATAGCAAAATATTTGTTCATGTCATATTATAATCAAATCAATGTTTTTACTGAAAAGTATTTTTTTGTAATTTTCCGATATAACATGCGGCGTGTATCAAAAACCAAATAGAACAAAACAGAATTTTTATTACTTGGTTTAAGCATAACAAACTCATCACCATAATTATTATATATTCAAATACAACATACTATACATAAATTACACATGACATGAACATTATATAACTGAAAAAAAGGCTTTTGAAATGTGAGAATGTTTAAGGTATTACCATCCTAATGCATTACCTCCACTTTTAAGAGTATTCAAATAGGCTAGAACTACTGTTAACTACATTTGAAATATGAGAATGTTTAAGGTATTACCATCCTAATGCATTACCTCCACTTTGATGAGTGTTCAAATAGGCTAGAACTACTGTTAACTACATTGAAAATGAGGGCCGTGGGTTCAATCCCCAGAAGGGTAAACTTTTTTTCTTTCTTTTTTTCTTTTAACATTATTTATGTATGTCTCATGTCCCATTTGAAAAGAAAAGTGTTTAATTTTGATTTTTTTAATTTATATAGGTATTTATTGGCTAAATTATGCTAAATCTAGTTATAAATATGGTACCTGATATTTTCAAAGTGTAATAAAATCAAAACTAAACGGTGAATGCATATTTTACAAGATCAACCAATATACTTCTTTAAAAATTTAGGGAAACTTTGAAAACAAGCACTCATTTGGGTAAGTTTTAAGAATTTTTTAAATAAGGCTCCCTAAGTAGGAAAATGGTCAGACACATGGTAAAATGGATGGGGTAGGGTAACATTTTTATACAGATTTCATGAATTTTAAGTAGAAACCACAATTTTGCTTATGTGGATTGTTAGCTGAATGGTACTATTTGTTTCATACCAAAAATTAACGGGAACACATTTTTCATTAGAATGTTATTGCAGATTATTTAAAGGTTCCTCATTTCTAAAAAAGGGGGCCCTCATAACATCCTAGCTTGAGTTCAGAAAAGTGGCCATAACTTGATTTCCGTACTGTAAACTGTGTTTAAATTTTGCATACAGGTGTACTTTAAGGTATATATCTGACCTATGATGTCAATTTTTTAGTTCCTTATAGTGCCCATTAGGGTGGTAATACCTTAATGAGACAGGAAATTAATTTTCTTAAAAGCATTTGAATATATATATAAATAACGCTCAAGAATTTATTGTTCTTTACCTTACATTATCAAACTAAGCTATGATATACATTTTGTTTGATATTGGGGAATTTCGGTTATGAACATTTTATTTTGTTTACGTACAATATCCACGTATAACAGACTCATTTTACGTTATAACTGTTTGGAGCATCGACAATACATATAATATTCATGCATGTTTAATCACAGAAACAATTACGTTACAAATCATTCGAGAATCGACCAAAAGATGGTGCAAACAACATATTTATACAGCTTTTAGATTTAATAAATATATTTCATTGGTATATAGCTTAATACCAAGGAAGTTCGAGAGAACTTATATCATACTAAACAAAATGATATCACCAGACACTGATTTATATCATTTTAATGATCTAAACTTCAGAAAAGTCTCGTTTTTTTATTTGGTTGAAATGTAATATTTCAAAAGAAATAAAAACAACCATGGTTAATTACAATGATAGCTGAAAGCCATAAAGAATCGGTCTTGAATTCCTTATACCTTGGTCCTGTATCAAATTCTTTGAAATTTTTATTAAGTTCTTATCGAACGATAAATAGTTCAGTGTATATTTTATATATATGGAGTCCTGCCAATGTTGTTGAATGACACTAAAACTTTATTGTCTTAACAGTAGTTAAATTCAGTCAACCGTTTAGATGATCGCCCACTCAAAAGAAAACGCCATAAAAATTGTGAAATGCTTTAAAGGTCTTAAAGGTATTTAAATATCACTGAAACCTGATTACTTGTGGGTGCCTAACAATGACAAAATATACATTGTATTTCTAAATATTTATGCTTTTATGACCAGACGTCTGAGGTTACTAAAACAAAACACCGTCATTCAAAATGATAAGATATCAAGATGAAAATTTTCTAACTTTGGAAAATGCACTTTCCTATACAGAAGGGTTAAATCTAGATCAAGACTTCTATGAAAATGATGCTACGAAACGATTGCAAAGTTTAAAGTTGCATGCCTCCAAATGAGCTCAACATATTTTTGAAAATTAATTTTGTTTGAGAAAAATGTACAGAGATTTTAAGAAAAGTAAAAATAATTAGTTGATTTATGGTGTTTTTTTTTATTTCTTTAGTTATCACAAAGTCGCGGCTTTCAGTGCATGTTTAGTTGCAAGTTTACCATTGTTTCCAAAGTCTTACACATGTAACAATACGCCATACCGTTTTGTATGAGAAATGTCGACCATTTGTTATTATAAATTGATGTGAAAAAAGTAAATACAAGGTAAAGAAAATGACAAAAAGATGGTAAAATTGGAAACGGATGAGATTATAAAAGCATCACGTCTTCTGAACCAGCCGGGGGACAAGTTAGCATTTTCTGTCGAAAAAAAAGGACATGCAGTGACAAATGCTGTGACTCAATCAATTTGGTTGTAAGAGTAAAGAATCATTTTGATTTATGGCAGTGTAGATCCAGAAGCCTGAAGAACTTAAAATTTTGCTAATTTCCATAACAGTGTGTAAATCATGTAAATGTTTCCGAAATTTTCTCTGTGTTATATCTTGTCAGATAATAGCATTTGGAGTTGAT